TAAAAACAGAAGTACCATCGATCATTTAGTTCGTTTGGAAACTTTTGTTAAAAATGCCATCATAAACAAACAACATGCAGTGTCTATCTTTTTCGATTTAGAAAAAGCCTATGACACTACATGGAAACATGGTATTTTAAAAGATTTACATGATTTTGGATTACGAGGCCGTTTGCCTCAATTTATATCCAACTTTTTATCAGATAGACAATTTCAAGTTCGTGTGGGTTCTACCCTGTCTGATCATTATAATCAGGATCAGGGTGTCCCACAAGGCAGTATCTTGTCTGTCACATTGTTTAGTATTAAAATAAACAGCTTAGCTACGGTTTTAAACGATTCCATTGATGGATCTTTATTCGTGGATGATTTTAACATTTCATGTCGTGGTAAAAATATGCATACTATTGAAAGACAATTACAGTTATGTCTTAATAAAATCCATAAATGGTCATTAGAAAATGGTTTTAAATTTTCAAAATCAAAAACGAATTGTATACATTTTTGTAGAAAATACAAATCACATAATGACCCCGAACTAGTTTTGGATCATACTCCTATTAAAGTTGTAAAAGAAGCCAAGTTCTTGGGCATTATTTTTGACCACCATCTCACCTTTTTACCACACATAAAATATTTGAAAAATAAATGCCTGAAGGCCCTTGACCTTCTGAAAGTCGTTTCCAATTCAAAGTGGGGAGGGGATCAGAAAACCCTACTCCTACTCTACAGAGCCCTTATCCGCTCCAAACTGGATTATGGCTCCATCATCTATGGTGGAGCCTGTAAAAGTAATTTAACATTATTAGATACAATACATCATCAAGCCCTGCGGCTTTGCCTTGGTGCATTCAGGACTTCACCCATTAATAGTCTGTACGTGGAGGCTGATGAGCCATCACTAAAACAACGTCGTATAAAACTGTCATTGCAATACGTCACTAAACTATTTTCAAATCCATCTAATCCAGCTTATGACTGCGTTTTTCATCCTATGTATGAGGATCTGTATCAAAAGAAACAATCCCTCACTCCACCCCTTGGACTAAGAATAAAACCTGAAATATCTGCTGCAAAAATTGACCTAAATAACATCTCTCCCACTCAAATACTGTCGTCTCCTCCGTGGCAACTAGTAAAGCCGCAAGTAGATCTTTCCTTAACTAAACTAAAGAAATCAGACACTAACCAACTAATGTATCAGCAAGAATATAATCAATTAAGAAGCACTTACAGCACTTCCAAGTCCATATTTACTGATGGATCCAAGGACGGTGACGCAGTTGCTAGCGCCACTGTCATTGGATCCAGAACAATATCATCCAGATTACCGAATGACAGTTCAATTTTTACAGCAGAATCACAGGCAATATTAACAGCTCTCAAATATATTAATACTCAGTCTAAACATAAACAGTTCATCATCTTTTCTGATTCCCTTTCCTGTCTTCAGGCCATTAAAAATATTTCATCTGAACATCCACTTTTACGTCAAATAATTGAATTACATAACGATCTTGCGACTGGCCAGTACGACATCGTCTTTTGTTGGTTACCTAGCCACGTTGGAATTATCGGTAACACAATGGCCGATGCTGCTGCCAAAGCAGCACTCAACAAATCTGTGACACCACTTCTGATCCCGTACACTGATTTTAAACCCGTGATTAGATCTTACATCAGAGATCTTATGCAAAAGAAGTGGGACACCCAAGTAGGTATCAATAAATTACATGAAATTAAACCCAATATCGGTTACACCTACTTGGGATGTCAGTCCAGATTTGAAGAGGTCATTATGCGACGATGTCGTATTGGCCATTCCAGATATACACATGAGTATTTGTTACAAGGTGAAGATCCTCCGTTTTGTATCCCTTGTGATGAAAGAATCACAGTCAAGCATGTCCTGCTTGACTGTATTGATTTTGCCATCACAAGGGATACTTATTTCAATGTTTCATCTATTAAGGATCTTTTTAATATCAGTTCTCATTTAGTTATTGGTTTTTTAAAAGAAATTGAATTGTACCATAAATTTTGATTCATATGTTGTCTATATAATACACTTTTTATGATTGGCAGAATAAATGCAATAACTAAGTTTGTTAGTGGCTGTATCCTCGAAGGGGGTTGAAGTAATGTAAAATGATTGTCCCCTGGAGAGGGTATATAAGACCACGTCATTCAAAGTAGATTTGTTCTTGCCACAGTCTTTAATCGTAGTATATATGTTATTTTAATATGGCTAAATATGTTAATAATCGCCAACACCTGAAGGGATGATGTAAATCCGGCTGGGGTCCATGCAGGTAGCAAAAGTACTGTAAGTCCCCATTGACCCTAGCATGGTGATCTACCTTCAGCTGCTGGCGAACTATAGCCTTTTTTATATTGTACCGTAATTTATAGTGTTATCTTTTTTATAGTTGTATGCTAGTTTTAAATAATAAACTGTGATATTCTAGTAATTTTACTGTCCATCGATGACAGGTTTTAATTAAGTTCAAACTGTATGTATTAACATTTATCGTCACGATATGGCTGAAATATTGCCGATGTGACGTAAAGCATTAACTCACTCACTCACTCATATTATAGCATTTCTTAGTGTGTCTATAAGATGGTATGTTTAATCATTTCCGAAAGATTTAATAGAGACTTGCGACAAAGGTAAGGTGAAATGGGGTTTAACGTCGCGTCCAAGAATATAGCACTTACACAGCGACGTGCATGCACGTGTGTGTGTGTGTGTGTGTGTGTGTGTGGCTGCTTGTACCAGTGCCAGTGCCGCAGATACCGTGCCGCAGTTAAACATGAGTACCCCACTCAGACACAGTAGACTGACTCCGGCCTGACCAGTCCTTGTTTTAGCCGCTTAAAGCCGAGCGCCAGAAGGTTAGAACTATCTTTCAACGTCTTTTGGTATGACGCGACCGGGGATCGAACCCCGGACCTACCACTCTCCGGACACTCTACCATTAGACCACGAAGGCGGTCTTACAATAAAGACAAACTTACAAGAATATGATTTGTACCTACAAATTACTTTAAATGTAAGCCTTCGTTAAATAATAAAGATGCATTACCTTTGTAGACATTCATTATCTATTAGCATTGTTGAACAGACAAAAATCATTTCGTAGCGATTAAACTGCTGATAAACAAATGTAACATGTGCCATTGACCAGTGGTATTTTGTAGCAGAAATACTCCGAATTGTAATTATTTTCTCTCCCAAAGAAAACAACCCCATACATCTAACAACGAATTGCGTTACATTGTTTTGGCAGCTGTTGTATATTCATTACATTTTGTCGCATCAAAACTTGTATTGTCCATAGACCTGTTATGTTTGTTTGTTTGTTGTTGAACGTCGCACTCAACAATATTCCAGTTAAATGGCGGCGGTCTGTAAATAATCAAGTCTGAACCACACAATCCAGAAATTGCCATCATGAGCATTGATCCACGCAATGAGGATACAATGACATGCATCAGCCAAGTCCGCGAGCCTGAACACCGATCCCATTAGTTGCTTCTGACCTGGATCTTTAAGGGTTAACCGTTATGACCTTTCAACTTGAGGCTGCATATAGCCTATTAAGGTGCAGCTTGTGACTATTTCTGTTTAAAAAATGATGGGAAACTCTCGTGTTGTGTAGCTCGGCGATAAGGGGAACTTTATATAATTACAGTGAAGGTCACAAAGAAAAGAAATACGACCTTCATTTGGCACATAATATATTCACTATAACAGCTGTACCGGGATGTCATGATCGGACTTTGGTCAGTACGTGTATGCTAATGAAAAACGTGTTGAGTGTATGACATATTTACATTCTTGTATCATCAATATTTGCTTAATATGAGCAGCGATAGTTTTACAGTCAGTTGAGGTTAATCCTCTTCAAAAACTATGAGTATGTTTACCAGTGGTATTGCGTTCCATGTTGGGAAATTGGATCCACACAGTGATAGGGTGTACGCTGACCCAACTACAGGTCACACCGACCAACATGTGATAGGTGAGGTGAAATGAGGTTTAACGTCGCGTCCAAGATTATTGCACTTATATTGCGACGTGCATGTACGTGTGTGTGTTTGTGTGGCTGCTTGTACTAGTCCGGACTGATGCCGATTTATAGTGCTAGCTCACTGAGATACCATGCCGCAGTTGAACATGAATACCCCACTCAGACACAGTGTACTGAGTCCGAGCCGACCAGTCCTTGTTTTAGCCCCTTAATCCCGAGCGCCAGACAGGGTAACATCAAGTACCATCTTTTAACGTCTTTTGGTATGACGCGGCCGGGGATCGAACCCCGGACCTTCCGGGCGGACGCTCTACCACTAGACCACGGAGGCGGTCCCAACATGTGATAATGTCACTGTGAAGCTATACACTTATAATAATATACACATCTGTAATATGCAGCGTTATCTTTTCGTGGCGACCAATCCTGTTGTTATTCTAACAAAGCACTACAGTGTCAATCAAATAAATTGGAAAAAACCCATACCTGTTAATATTCTATTTAATAATTACATTTGATTGTGATCTCTATTAAAATGAAATTGTACCATATTCTGTTCCTTTCAGAGTGTTGATATTCTGGTCACACCCGAAGATGGCATATACGGCATGCGGTTTAAAAGAACAACAATAAGACCGTATATGGAAACAATCCCAGACCCAAGAAACGTGACGTACAGCTCCCGCAGACATACCCAACGTCGACGTCCAACGACGTCTGAGCTGCATGGCTTGTGACAACGCGCTCTACCTGGTAGCCAACTACGGTGATATACAACCCTGCCACTACCAATACAACACGGACATTGTGTTCGACCCGAACGGTACACTCATCGCGAGGTACCACAAAAAGCATCTCTTCTTTGAATACCAGTTGAATACCAGAACCAACTGAAGCAGAGAACGTCGTGTTTGAGACGCCGTTTGGCAGATTTGGTGTCTTCACCAGCTTTGACATTATGTTTGAGAAGCCAGCAATATCTCTCATTGAAGACCTCAGTGTGGGCAACATCGTGTTCCCTACAGCGTGAATCGACGCCCTTCCCCTCCTGGCCGCGGTGCAATTCCACTCAGCATTCGCCATGGGGATGGGCGTGAACTTCCTGGACGCAAACATCCATCGGCCCGGGGACAGGTTTCACGGCAGTGGTATTTACACGCCAGATGGCGCTGCGGTATACAACTACAATGACACCATCGGGACTGGAGGCGGTAAACTCCTTATTGCAGACATCGATATTATGGATAAAGCTGCACGTCGTCCTGTCGAGGACCAACCCAAACCAGACTCGAGGATGCTCAGCGTGGATCAGTTTGAGTTTAAGTCCAATCTTTTCAATGATCTGTTAAACTTTGTATCCCTCCGAGATCCTCACGCTGACGAAATCAAGGTCTGCCACAACGCTCTCTGTTGTCACGCTACGTACACGGCCAACCTTAATGAAGGTGACATGTATGCTCTCGGCGCATTTGATGGTCTTCACACATACGAGGGACAATATTACCTTCAAATATGTACAATGCTTAAATGTGCCAATTCATCCTATTCAAGCTGTGGTACACCAACATTTGATGGCAGCTCCATCTTCTCCAACATTGACATCCGGGGCACATTCAGCACACCCTACATCTTCCCTGAAGTGCTGATGTCAGACACCGGAAGTCTCGCTTTAGGGCAGACGCAGTTGAGTTTCAAGAACGGAAGTCTCGTCACAAAGAATCCCCTGGATCTCCCGTTGTTGTCTGCGACTCTGTTTGGACGGAAGTACAGCTGGGACAACGGTAACGACTACGACAAGGCATCTGGTTGCTGCGGTCGCGACAGCATTCAACTAACTATCTACCTGTCCCTGGTCTTAACACTGTTTCTCAAATGAAGATGACACGTAACACCTGATTGAGGCTTCGATTCAAGAATCTTATCCAAATCGAACGCTACATCTCTCCCTATTGTCGTAAACCAAACCGACGACGTTTGACTTGTTTCATTGCTAAAGAATCATAAATACAATGTAAGCGAATTTGTTTCTTGTTTTTAGACTGAACATTCTTCTGCTGCATAAAATGCATTTGATATGGGAGTGATACAGTCTGATTGGTAGTTTGAAAGTTTGTCGAAGTTTGCCTTTGGCTCTAATGATCAGCATAAATTGAAATATTTTGTTCGACTGCAAGTACAGTCAGACTTAATTCAAACATTGAATTAATTCAAAGTTATGAAAACGCCTGAGATCAATGCAATTAGTTTGTTGATTTAGAAGAGAGAATTATCTCTAAAAGATTGACTAAATTAAAATGTTTGGTCACATAAAAATAAAATGGCAATATAACCAGGGACATGGAACGTTTGTTAATAAAAATATATTTGCACTGGTATTATAACCTTGGTGCCATTACAATCAGGGCATTTTGCACTGCGGATATCCGTTCTTGGAAAAATACATGGCATTGTAAGCAGGGACCTAACAAACAGGTAGGACTGTATCTAGAGTAATAACTGGATTACAGTTTGAATATATAAACTGTTAATACAACATTGATAGCATCCCTGTTGATAAGTGGAATACTTCTATTTGTAATATGTCTGCTGCGTGTCAAAATATTATTTCATGTACTCAATATATGTTGCTTTCAAATTAAAACTAGTTTCTCTCATGCGGGTGCGTGTGAGTGTGCGTATTCTTGTCTGTTCATGTTCGTCTGAGTAATGGTACCAAACAGTTTCTCATGTTTTTGTAAAGTGCATTCAGACTTGCAGATGTGTATGTGATGCGTTGATGATATTACACAAGAATATGCGTATGATTAGTTGTCAGTTAAACAGTATGGTTAATGAAGTATGCTTTATGTACTGAAGTGTCATTACAACCCTTGTCTTCATCAACTGATCATGAGATGTAGATAACCTACCGCACCCTCTGTACTATAGTCTCGTGTTGCCTTTTAGCCAAGATTTTATGTGATTAATACGTTGCAAGGTTGTGGGTATTTGTGAATTTATCATCCACATTGTAGATATCGCTGCAATGAAATTGCATTACGATGCTTTTGAGACCATTGTGACGTCATTGGTTACCATGACGTCAGATTCAAATGACAACACTCATGGCTCTGCCACTGAAGCTGTAAGCAGTATTTTTTTACACTTATTACTTATTACAGTCTACACACTGATAAAATTGGACAAATGATGTTTGATGATAAATAAAATCTCACCCGAGTATCTTTTGATATCAAATATATCAATACTCGTTTATATCTGTGATATCAAAAGACACTCGGGTGAGATTCTCTATGTCTTAGACATTAATCGACAACATTTTTGTCATTATGATTGGAAGGGAATTCTTTTTAATACATTTGTATAATGACGAAACATTTTTTGTTGGTTTTACTTATTCCTTTAATATTGAGTGAGTGAGTGATTGAGTGACTATAGTTTTACGCCGCTTTTAGCAATATTCCAGCAAGGGACACCAGAATTTGGCTTCACACATTGAAACCCATGTGGGGAATCGAATCTGGGTCTTCGGCGTGACGATCGAACACTTTAACACTAGGCTACCCCACCGCCTCTTAAATAACAGTATTTGTTTCATGAGTTTTACAAATACTTGTATTCCCCGAAGTAATTATGGTCAACACGGTAGCCCAGTCGCGTCACGAGAAAGTCCTTTGTTCGATTTCCCTTCCAAATTGTGCAAATAGGCATTTAAATCACTCACACGCTCACCATGATCCCGAGGCACGGGACTTAACTGGCTAAAAAGGTCTTGTTCCCACCCTTGCCGAACTAGGCTGGAATTTCCATGCTCAATCTTAGCACCACCAGTGGCTATTACGAGTTATGTCCCTTCTATGTCCACCCTAATGACCAATCAGATTCCAACAAAATGGCGGCGCGCATTCAAGACGATCTGATCGATAATCAAGATCTATATTGTAATCAAACGGGAAGATTTTTCACTATAAGGTATGTCAATGTTTTCGTATTTTTTCTGGTATTTTTTTCCTATTTGACGGTTCATAAGTTGGATAAAACACGGTTCCTCAGTTTGGGTTGAACATATAAAACCGCGAACGAGGAAAAAGCCAAAGCTCAGGAGGCGTGTTATATCCGATACATAGTGACTTAAAAGAATCTAAAAAAACTGATGCTGATTATAAACATGTTCTTTATGTTTGGGTAAAAAAAAGCTATAAGAATGAATCATGATCTACACTTAAAAGCTGATGTTCAATAACTCACCGACATATTTGAGATATTTAGAAAGACATGTTTAAATCAATAAGGCTTGGATCCAGCATGGTACTATTCCAGTCCCGGACTCTCGTGGGATGCATTGTTGAAAAAGACTAATGTAGAACTTAAACTTTCACTGATTATGATATGCACTGGTTTGTTGAGAAAGGATTAAGTGGTGGTATATCAATGGCAGCGAAAAGATACCCAAAGGCCTATAATAAATAAGTTGAAGGATATGGTCCGAGTAAACCTGATACACCCATTACATACAAACAATTTGTATGGATTTGCTGTAGTTTTGCAGGTGGTTTAAGTAGGTAGACAATGACGATGTGAATAATATTCCCAAAGATTCTGATGAGGGTACATACCAGAAGTTGACTTAGCATACCCCCAAAAGTTACATAAACACCATCCGCTAGGTCCTGAAAGATTAATGGTAAACAGTGATTGGATGTCAGAATATCAACACAACTTGATGGGAAAGACAAGGTTAGCTAATGTTGAAAAACTCGTACCAAATTTGATGGATAAGACAAAATATATAGTCCACTATAGAAATCTCCAGTTATATTTATCATTGGGAATGAAGCTAAAGAAAATACACTGAGTTCTTAAGTTTGGTTCAATCCCTTGGATGGAACCCAATATAAGGCTGAAGACAGATTTAAGAAAGAAGGCTCCGGGTGTTTTCTAAAAGGAACCTATGAACCTCATGAATAACTATGATAAAACTATGGAGAATCTACGGAAGCGCGTTGATGTAAAATTGGTCAGATCTAAAGAGGAAGAAAGATTTAGGAAACTAATAGCTAGTCCGGTATATTTGCCATATTGCTTGTTTCTTTAACAAATCCTTAGCAACATCTTCAGATACTTTAGCTGCTTGTGCTAGTTTTTGTATTGCCCCTTTACCTTTCAAATATCCTCGTGGGTTGTTCTAAATTTTATCCATTATTTATTAATACTGATGTTCCTTCAATACAACCATTCAGATAAATGTTCACAAACGTGCAAAACAATGAACGATTACAAATCAACAAAAGAAGAACTTGAAAATTTGTCAAAGCATTTATGTACCGAGATCAAATTATCAAATGGCGAGAATGACCACAAGGCGTATATCCTATCAGGGATGTCAAGCCATCCAAATACGATTATCAACTGTTTCTAGCCAATTGTTTTGTTTGTATGTTGTTTAACGCCGCACGCAGCAATATTCCAGCTATATGACGGCGGTCTGTAAATAATCGAGTCTAGACAGTTTGAAACCTGACTCTCTCTTGAATCGTGCTGTTGTTTCAGAGGACCCCACAGAGGGGAGGAACATAGCCCTGCAGGAGCCCGAGGTGGTCGCTAAGCTGAAACTCAAGATTAACCAGTAATCCCTGCACAAACAAGACAATGTTCACCATCAGCTGAACCAGTTCTCCACGGCGGCGTGTGGTCCCCAGGGTGGTGCTGATATCACCATTTCCCATAAAGTCTCCTGATGTCCTGTCCCCCGATACATAGTCCCTGATGGCCTTTGCTAGTCTCTGATAGCCCCCGATGTTCTTTGCTAGCCCCCGATAGCTCCTGATGTTCCTTGGTAGCCCCGATAGCTCTCGATGTCCCTTGCTAGCCCCAGATGGCCCTTGCTAGCCCTAGATGGCCGCTGCTTCCCCCGATAGCCCAAGATGGCCCTTGCTAGTTCTTGAAGACGTATGGTCTTGGCGTCAAACTTTTTCAGAGTACATGTACAGCAGCTATTCAATGACACTGTTTGGTACAACTGACGTAATAAATTTTATTTCTGGTGTTAACTTAGGAGGCGCACATAACCTTTATATCACACCTTAAAATGAAAACATCACTTCTATATCGCCTCATTCCATGTATATATAACCTTTCTGTCTCCTCTTATGTATACATCACTTCTTTATCACCTCATTCCATGAAAAATAACCTTTATGTCTCCTCCTAAGATGTATATGTCACTTCAATATCACCTCATTCCATTTGCATATAACCTTTATGTCTCCTCCTAAAATGTATACATCACTTCAATATGACCTCATTCAATGAAAAATAACCTTTATGCCTCCTCCTAAAATGTATATGTCACTTCAATATCACCTTATTCCATGTCTATATAACCTTTGTGTCTCCTCCTAAAATGCATACATTACTTCAATATCACCTCATTCCATGTATATATAACCTTTATGTCTCCTCCTAAAATGTATACATCACTTCAATATCAACTCATTCCATGTACATATAACCTTTATGTCTCCTTCTAAAATGTATACATCTCTTCAATATCACCTCATTCCAGGTGCATATAACCTTTATGTCTCCTCCTAAAATGTATACATCTCTTCAATATCACCTCATTCCATGTGCATATAACCTTTATGTCTCCTCCTAATATGTATACATTTCTTCAATAACACCTCATTCAATGAAAAATAACCTTTATGTCTCCTCCTAAGATGTATATGTCACTTCAATATCACCTCATTCCATGTCTATATAACCTTTATGTCTCCTCGTAAAATATATACATCACTTCACTATCTCCTCGTTCCATGTCTATATAACCTTTATGTCTCCTCCTAAAATGTATACATTACTTCAATATCACCTCATTCCATGTCTATATTACCTTTATGTCTCCTACTAAAATGTATACATCACTTCAATATCAACTCATTCCATATACATATAACCTTTATGTCCCCTTCTAAAATGTATACATCTCTTCAATATCACCTCATTCCATGTGCATATAACCTTTATGTCTCCTCCTAAAATGTATACATCTCTTCAATAACACCTCATTCAATGAAAAGTAACCTTTATGTCTCCTCCTAAGATGTATATGTCACTTCAATATCACCTCATTCCATGTATATATAACCTTTATGTCTCTTCCTAAAATAGATACATCACTTCAATATCACCTTATTCCATGTCTATATAACCTTTGTGTCTCCTCCT